TTTGGTTCAAATAATCCTTCACCAACGTCATGGTTACACTTGAAAATGTATCATCATCATCAGCCATGAAATTCTATTTTTTGAGGACCTTTCCCGGCCAATGCCATCACTCATCGTCTTGAAATTTCATGATTGATCTTACTCCTGAAACTGATCAATTGATGGGTATTTATGAATTCATTGCAGAATATGAAAGTGCATGAGAACCACTTTTTTTCTTTGTATATTGTATACAGTATATTCACATGAGACCCTCCAACCATTTGTAGCTGCCACATTCATCACGAAAATAACAATATTGAATCGAATGGCAGCCTTGAATCGTGATAATCAATAAACATAGATTCAAACAAAAACTAATCTTAGAAAAACACACCAAGATGCTTAATTATATGCATCTTACTGTACTGTATTGTTAAATACGGCTTGTAATAGAATGCAGTTATCACTAGGCGTATTTAAACAGCAGTTGCTATACACGGTACCTCTTTGGAACCTTCTGTTCTGGTTTATCTTTGGGGCCGGGAGAAGACCAATGCACTCGCCCCAGGGAGCAAGGTCCACAAATCATAAAATCAACCCAGGTGTCGATGTTGTGTTATCAGGCAGGTACATAGACACACAATGGCATTTCATTCAGGGCGACAGTGAAGTTTAACCTTACTTGAGAGGTATATATTTTTTCTATACTTGGGATTCATAACTGCCGGAATGTTACGTAATTATCAACGCTGGCTACGCCGTGCTGCACCATTTTTCAGTACCAACAGCAAACGCTGATGGTTGCTCCTCGTGACATGTACATGTGCAGCCCGCTTGTCAATACGCCAGTGGAGGAGGGCCTCACCATACCATGCATGCTTTCGGGGTTATTTGACCCATACTTCAATACTATTGGTCAGTACGTGTTGATGAACGTGTGCAGCGTAGACATTGGACAGCATAGTATTGTGCAACAATTAATTTTGCTGCACTTCCTGCTGCAATGCAGGGTACTACAATTTACACCGTTTGAAGTTAAAATTTGAAATAGATGTAAAACAAGGAGGGGGTTGTCCTTTCCTCTATCTTAGCACATGTTGTAAACCATACTTGGCCTAAGTTACGGCTCACACATATTTGATATGTTCATAAATAAAGCAAGTGTTGTGTCAATAATAGTTATCGTTCGAGAAATTTACTTCGCCATAAAACAGCCTATCCCACTGTCAACATGTCTCTCAAAACAAGAGACGTAATATAGTTTCATAGTTTAATTTATTTGGTATAGCCCTGTGAACCATTCGGCTCTTGAATCGGGTGCAACCACAACAAACAAAAAAACAAAAACATGAACAAGAAAACATCTTAAAGTGACTATGTGACTGTGCAAACAGAAAATCCAGGAAAAAACATCAAAATATTCCTGAAATAGCACCGTACACCAACGCTGTGTGCAAAAATCCCAGTGGGATGCAAGTCAAACAACAACAACAACAAGAAAAAGATAGATTAAGGCCATCAGTCTAACTCCGTACTACAATAAACAAAAACATGGCCAAACCAAAAAACTTTTAGAAATCACCAAAATAAAGCCATAAATGCAATGTAACAGTGATCACAGGAACTGTGACCGAATTTTTTGTTACAATAAACTAAATAAATAACATGTAACACCAAACCCTAGAGCCACAGCTGGCTGCATGAGTCACTCCACAAACAACAGGAGCATCAATATTGACGACTCAGTGAAGAAAAATAAAGTTGCTTGACCGGGATACGTCGCTAGAAGGAGATGATAGCCAATGAATGAGACCGGCGATGGGATGGCAGCCGGAGGAAGGGGAGAGGACGACCAGAGCGACGGAGATGGAGCCACGAGGCCGGTTCATGCTCCGGAGAGAGATTGCTCACGGCAGCCTTCTCACCTTGAGGGATGGCGATGGCACTTGGGAGGAATGAATCCAGCAGTGGGATAGACGACGTCTGATTATGGTGATGGAAAAACATCTCTGCAGCGTGCATTTGAGTAAAAAAATGTGTTTTTGATCAATAGCGTCACCTTAATTTTGCCAGAGACGAATATAAAGACTTTTTCTTCATCTCTATATATACACAGACATGGATATATGGGTACATTTAACAATGCAAATGATCATAAACCTTTTTTTTGTATAAACTTAAAGGTGTGTAATTTGGGCACGCATTATTTTGTATGCCTATATAATTTACAGCTTTTTGTCAGTCCACTGCTGGATGAAGGCCTCCCCATACCATGTCAGTCATGGCAAATTGTAGACCATACTTCACCACGTTAGTCAGTGTTGGTTAGTGATGAAGGGGAACCCAGTACATCACTCGCCACTGATGCTCGCTGTAGCCGTGAATCGAATGTAGGTTGCCAGGTTCAGTGCGCAGCGTCTTAACTGTTGTGCAAGCCACTTCCCAATGCTTTCTGAGTGAGGGTAAATGTTTGGCTTCAGTGTTGCAATCGTGATGACTGTTGAAGCGACGTGGCGGTTGAAGCATTGGCACGTGAGAGAGGGCTGCGTCACACAGTCTGGCACACAAATATTTATGTTTCGCTAATTGGGTACAAATTTGTACCAGCACAGAACATTGACGTGATGTTTTTAAAACAATATGGTCAATTATGATGGGTATTTATTTGTGTAAGCTTTGGTGCTTCTGGTAAAAAAAAAATAATAATAAAAATGTAAGTGATTTTCGCCAAGGGAAATATATATTTATTTTGTTCATGTTATAAGAATATGACATGACATTTGTAAATATTTTAACCAAAATTCCACAACAGCCATACAGAGTATCCAATGTATTAGCAAATTACTTTTCACCACTTGGCAAAGATGGTAGTTTTGCGAGCTGCCTTAATTTCTAATGTACATTCAACTTGCACGACTCTGTAATTAGTATTTCAATTGTGAATGTATAAACATGTTTTTCATTCTCATACTTTGTGGTAAAAAAAAACTATAAGAATTAGTAAAATGTCTTAATACTGGGGTCCAGTATTTTAAGACAAATTTTGGGCCAGCATAGTAAAAAAAAGTCATTAAAAAGATTTACATGTACAGTGATTTGAGCATAGTAAGTGATTCATATTACGTAGTATAGTTTTTTGTGTTGAGCAATGAGGCTCATTTGCTTCAATACCTTAATCTGTTCATGAACATATTTTATGAAGTATTAAAGCTTTCGTGACTGCATAAAATTACTCATTGATTTTTCGGTAATATATTTTATTGTATTTCTACATACGTGACTTTACCGAAAAAAACAATGAGTGATATTTTATGAAATTTGCCAAATTTTCTAAGACAGGACCCTCCTGAAAGAGTCCGTGTGCTTTATAAACCTTGCTATATAAATAATGGGATCGAACGAACCGAAAATTCGCATGCTTATTTTAACCCAACGTTATTTTAAATGTTAACTTTTTGCAGAAATTGCATACAATACTGTGGTGCTCTTTGAGTTTTAATGCGCTAACCTTCATCAGCAATGAATGGATTTCAAATTAATTCCCCCCCCCCCCCCCCATATTCAACAATGTATCTTACTCATGACCAGGATATGAATGTATGGACTTTGTGGAATAAATGCATTCAATTATGCAGTGAATCATGTGTAAGTTGATGTAAGTTGTGTGTGACAAATTCCATCCAATGACAATTCTAATAGAGATGCTCCTGTAATAAAAACCTTTCACATACAGCACAGTATATAACAAAACAAACACTGTCATTGTCTCTGGCTGTCTATTTTTGAAAGCTAATACTATTAAAATTACACATGCACTTGTATTAAATTAAGCCGAGTTATTTCTCATGTTTAAATGTAAATCCAGTAAGTTGGTGACTCGGCCGCCCTGAATGCTCTAGCTATTTTTACAGTTGCTCATTTGTGTAAACTATGAACAATTTTAACTAAACATTTTATTTTTATTTTACCAGGTAAGGCCTACTGAGCTATATAGCTCTTTCAGAAGCAACCTGGTGACAAGTGATAGCCCAATGACGTGGATTATCATGTGGACATTTCTAACAGCTGAATACTTTAAACACATGCTTCTAAATTTGGGGGGAAAAACCGGAGAACTCGGAGAAAAATACACACGACCACGGGGAGAACACGCAAACACCAAAATATACAGGTGTTAGGGTCTGGATCAAGCCTAGAACCTCCTGTATACGAGGCGTGGTAGTTAACATGACGTTCGACATTTCGCTCCACATGCTGGGAGCTCGAAGTTCCTGAAGAAGCTTCCAGCATGCTGCGCGAAACATCGGACATCGTGCCTGTCCAACACGCGATACAGCCCGAAAGTCCATCCGAGGGCTATGCGAGCACAATCTCGAAAACCTGTACTTAAATATGCTGAGAATTTCGCCCATAAATCGACCAGTGATCTTTTGGGTGTTCATTATTGTTGAGACTTATTAATACACGCCATTGGTACATTCTCCTGTCACATCTACTAAGTATCAGGTGTCATGAGGCTAAGAACAAACTCTTGCATAATGTATAAATGCGATTCTGTGCTTGTGTCATGATGATGTTGGTCAAAAGTGATAAGCTCACACATTCATAACTCCCCACAAGATGGTGTGAAGGTGCCTCAATGCAAACATGCCGTATACAGCCAAGTAATATACAACAACAATGTGGTTGCAGTCAGTGAATATGTATTTTCTGAAATGTGATTTTTAATTGGCAGATTTTTGCTGCCTTTGCTTTGAAGAGAAAAAAATATATAACACAAACCTCAATTGCTATTATTATCCGGTATTAAAATCAACGCAAACGACTATCACTCGCATATATACAAAGACTTAACACGAATGCACATGGAGAATACATGATTTGATGCGTTCGTCAATGTCGCTTGAAACACGAGCGGATATTTATCCGATACAAGTCTAAACGCATTGTAACCGTTATGCAGCCACTAACTCGTGATTGGCCCGTGTTTAAAACGTGTTTTTCGTCTTTTCCTGCAGATGGTTCTTTGGCGATATCAAGAGAGCAGATGCCGAAAAGTATCTGTTGGCAGACGTCAATACAACTGGCGCCTTCCTCATACGGCAGAGTGAGAGCAGAAAGACCGACTACTCACTCTCAGGTATCCCTTCCTGTTTTCAAAGGCCTGCACGTGCCAGGTGCAAAGTGCCACGTTTTAATTGAAATTAGTTATGAGCGTTTTTTCTCCCACGTGTTTACCCTATTGTGCTATTGACGGTTACGTCACGGGGCGAAGGATCCATTTGGGCACTGGCAGAGCCAGTGGGGGGGGGGGGGGGTGGCACGTGCCCCCCCAATGATCCGATCGAAATCCATAATATCGATCGAATCATTGGTGTTTATTAATAATAAATCGGCATTGAGACCCCCACTGCCACTGTATAGCATATTATTATGTGCCAGGGACTCTATGAGATGATAGGACAATAGTCTGAGTCCATAATTGGCAACAAGCAACGGCAAAGCGGTTATAAGTGACTCAGAATTGTGCGCAGTTGCGTATACAGAGTCCACGACTTCTCTGAAGGCATCAACACCTTCAGCGAGCGCGATGCCGATCACACGCGGTTCGAATTCGACCCTCGATGAATGGCCGCACACGCGTCAAATAAAAAACAAGGGACAAGTCCTTACTTACTAACAACTCCTTTCATTTTTCATTGCTGGTTCCGCCATTGCATTTCGGTCTCTCGAAGAGCGGCAGCGCAACTCTTCGTGCTACAGAACGGCCTATGGAAGTGGATATCGTGGAAATACTCATAAAGTTCCCTTGAAAGTGCTCTTTGGCCCACATAGTAGGGGGCAGAACTTTTTCAGCTGCCCTGCTACAAGCGAGTATTGTCTGCTGAGTCACAGTCGTAGGAATACTTTTTTCAAGCTGGAAATGAGCTAAACCATAAGTGAGCAAACCACACTTACGATTTTTAATTGAATTTTTTTTAATTGGATTTTTTTTCTGGTGTATTCATTGGTGATTGGCTTTATGGACCATCAACTCGCGAGACTCGAAAACCAAACATTTTTTTTTTCTATAAACGCAAGCGGCTGAAATCCAATTCGAACATCGGTGCCAACCTCACTGTGATGTTCGAGTCGCCTGGCCACCTCACAAACGCCAGTGGCTAATCCTCCGCCCAACGACCAACGGGAATGGATGAGATGCTGTGATCTCTGCCGCTGTTGCTCCTTCTGCGCCTTCCCCGCGGTCCCAACCTTTTGTTTGCGTCCACACCCTCGTAGGGAGTTCCACGGTGAAGGTCTCAGGTGGCATTGATGTTTGTATTTGGTTACGTAGCAACCGTGAAATCAACTGCGTGCGGCGTGTTATAACACACACACACACTACATTCATTTAATATACATTATAGCAGCAATGAGAACAGGTTTTGAGTGCAGGCACCAGTCGCGGATTCAGAGTCGTACGTTCACGATTTGTTGTATCACGGTGACCAAGTGCAAAAAAACAAACCTGTAGTATTATTATTAAGATCTTGATCCCTTATTAACCACTTGTTTGCCCGTCCTAGGATGGAAGCTGTAATATTTCTGAAAAAATTGAGCAGAGTATAATTGAATCTTGTGTAAATTTAATGGCAGTGATTCTTGCACAAAACTACATCATAAAACACCTCACTTGATGTCACTAGCACTGTATATAACTGATCTTCAATTTGTTCAAATTCACTGCTCTGATACTTAATTCTCTTCTGCTTTCGGTCGCTGGGATTGAAATGAATTGGAAATCGATACAATATCTGGAAAATCACTGAGAAGTGGCTATTTTACCATAATGTAGAAGCATAAATTAGACTTGCCTTTTGTCTCAAGTGCTGAAGGCATGAATAAAAACACCAAATCCACTTTGTTGCTGCGTATAATTACTTATTAGATTCACTTTCAATAAAGAAACGTCAAAGTTAAAGCGAATTTGCGAAAAAAAAATGTATTTCCGCTCGACCTTCTTCTGCGTGAGTGTAAAAATCCACCCACTCATGAATATTAATGACGGGGGGGGGGGCATGTGGAGTGACGTCACGCGCTCATGAATATTAATGACGGGTGGGGTGGAATGTTGCGTGACGTCACGCGCGTTACACACAAACAGATATACTTGGCTCATTATAGTAGTAATATGTTCAGGAAGGCATACCCAAGCTTCAGTCGTGCGTCTTGGTGCCACGTGGACGTGGACTTTGATGTAATCTGCTGGCTGAATACCCCTCCCCCCCCCTTGACAAAGAGTGTTTTAGCTCTATGCGCTTTTGCTTTTACTGGGGGGTTGTGATTCCGTAAGGCGCTTTGAGTTGCTGCTGGGGCATTTAAGTGGCCAAATATATATGTGCAAACCGATTGATCGTGAATTGTACTTTTAGGCCGCATTCCAAAAAAAGTTGTGTACATACACACACACATATATATAAAAGCACAGCATATTCAGCGTACCCGTGAATGAAAATTACGTGTCTCTACTGTTGGACGGCCTCCTTGCTCTGTGTCAGTGGTGGGAGTTGTGAGACCACGCTTTAGCAGGTCGGTCAGTGCGGATTGGCGAGGGGGTTTAGGCAGGCCAGTACTAACTCATGCATCACCTTGCCCACCAATGTTTTAGCGTGGCCAGGAATCGAATTCGCGTGATTGGGTTCACGGCACATGCGCTAACCGTGATGCCCTTCCGCTCCACCAGCGTGAAATACGGTGATGTGCATACCGTAGAATATCATGGCCACAAACCAAACATACGCGCAGTTTAATGGCAAATGTTACACTCGTGAAAGAAAGACGTCCTTTGATTTGTGTTTCTCATTATGGCTATTGCATAATGGAAATGAAGACCTCTAGGAGTGGGCCAAGGTATAGTTCACAATATCTTCGTGAAAAAAATCGCTTGCCGACTCAAAAAAGACAAAGGTAAAGATCCCCCCTTTTCGCCTCAACAGACTGTTGGGGCAAGTGCTGTTAGCGAACACCTATGAAGGCCGGCACGGCACACGAGGGGGTGGGTGGCCATTACAAGGCCCGGCCGCTTTTTTCTCTCCAGTGGTGATGTTTACACACCGCACCAGGAACTCATTTGAGGTTGAGTCGACCGTGAGCGGGAATCGAACTCGGGTTGCACTCCCCACTTGCACACACAAGGGTATGAACACGCACACACACCACAGCCGAGCTATTTGGCCGATCTCTGACCATACCACCTCGGTGTCATTTTTAATCCGGCCCGTTCTGTGATTGTCTATTTTCAGTGCGTGACGGCAGTACCGTGAAGCATTACCGGATCCGGCAACTGGATGAGAATGGTGGCTTCTTCATATCGAGACGGGTCACGTTCCAAAATCTGATTGAACTGGTGCAGTACTACAAATCAAACTCTGATGGGCTCTGCATGGCCTTACAAAAACCCTGCGTGGTGGTGAGCTTTTTTTTTTTGGTTCCTCCCTCTTCTGTGCTCTGTTCTCAGGTTCCCCGACAAGGGATTAACGCGTCGTGAGAAACAAACAAAAACTTGGCCGTGAGACAGGTGTTGCACGGAGCTCGGATTCCCCACAGAAAACCACGTGATTCTGTGAGGCATCATTAAACAAACAATTTGGTGAAAGTGTTCATTTGGAAACTTTTTTTTTAATTAAAATTATTCTCAAGCCCCGTGGTTTGAAATGCAGCCTCCAAATTTTATCCACTTGGTCTCTCTGCCTGAAAGCTCGCTTATTTTGCATATATTTTTAGTTTTTAGCGCAGTATTATTGATGAATTTGACTGCTTTTGTGAGGCATTGTTGACATTTGCTGCCTGCAATAAATGAGACGAAAGTGACATTCACATGAGCAGACCCATGTTTTTTTTGGAAAGCTGAACTTGATAATGCAAAGTAATGTGCAACAATCTGCTATGACGTGGTTCAGAAAGATGGTTATGAATAAAAATTACCAAAAAATATCTAACAACTGAAAAGTTTACGATAAGCATGGAGAGATACATGCTTGGAATTACACTGAGAGACGGACAGAGGAACGCATGGATTTAAACTACTAAACTTAACTAAACTTTTTATTTTTACCACGTAAGGCCCACTGAGCTATATAGTTCTTTTTCAGAAGCGAACTAGCCACAAGTCATAGCCGAACAAAGTAGCTTTTGTGGAAATTTATAGTCGCAGCCAAATCTTCTAAATGCATGTTTCTAAATGTGGAGGGAAAAACCGGAGGATTTTCAGAAAAATTAACGAGACCACGCGGAGAACATGCAAACTCCAAATATACGGTCACCAGGGTTGGGATCGGACCCACAACCTCCTGTATACCAGGCGAGGCAGTTAACATCTCATTTGTGTATGTTCTCGATTTGAGAACGTACATAAGTTAATAAAATCTTCAAAGCTATGAAGACAAAGTGGGTAGGACACTTGGTGAGAATGGGTGATGGATAAGGTGAAGGAATATATATATATAACACTTCGTAGAGGAAACAACGATCAAATGGCTTCGTGCAACGGTGCTGTATGGATTTGGTGCATCGCAGGATTGTGAGATCTGGTGGTGGCTTGGTGGGAGGTCTTCATCCAGCAGTGAGTTCTTCATGGCGAATGGTGATGAAGGCAATGTGTGCCAATGACCTGGTCAAAATCTAACATGTTGAAATTACCTTGAACTTTAGGAAAATTATTCGGGAAGAAAATGTTTTACGGTATTTACAAAGTACATCGTCGAGTTGCGTTAAACGTCGCACGACCATTTAGTCGCGTAACAGCACGCATTCCTGCGCCCTTTTGTGATGGCAGATTGAAGCTCCCACCACGATAGGACTGTCCTACAACACGGTGGATAAGTGGGAGATCCCGCGGGCCTCGATCCAACTGCAGAAACGGCTGGGGGCTGGCATGTTCGGCGAGGTGTGGCAAGGCCTCTGGAACAACAGCACCTTGGTGGCGGTGAAAACCCTCAAGCCAGGTCTGACGGTCGTCGTTTGTGCACCAAATCACCAGGATACAGCAACCACTACGCCCCGGAAGGGGGAAAAATAATTTGTCGATCGATAATTCATTCATTGGCTCGTGGTACTTGTGTCGAATTGCGTGCGTCTGCAAATGATGTGCAACCAATGCTCGTGCATGTGTGTGTGTGTTGAACTTATTTCACACCGCACGTAGCCAACCATGCAAACCGTCGGTTCGGGAAATGCTAATGTACCATGTAGAATGAAATGGCGCTACCAGATCGCACAAGCAAGAATAATTTGTGGGCACGGGAGGGTCGCACGTTTCACTTTTAAGTGCGAAATATGTTGAACGGTGTTGACTTGTATGCTGTACATGAATATAATGCCCCTTCTACCTCCGTGAACATAAATGAACGATTTTACAACAATGGCACCTTCACTGTGATTACCGCACACGCATCCTTTCTCTAGTTTTTATTACATGAGATCGACAATGCCACTGACTTGGTACGCTTGAAAGAAATGACATTTTCATGGCGATGACGCCGTTAGAGGACTGCTAGTGATTTCGCAACAAAATCGAGTGATGTTCATTGTGCGGCTCATGGCTCGAATATCAATGAACGTGTTTGAACTGGCTTCGAACACAGGAGGTTTTATTGAAGGCAGGTGGAACGTAACAGAAGAGATGCGCACTTGTTGCAATAGCGTGTATCCAATAATGCGATGTTGACTTTGGCTATGCCCTGCTTCTTCTTGCACCCGCCACGCTGCTCAGGAGCTATGAAAAAAGAGGAGTTCATCGGGGAGGCGCAGATCATGAAGCAACTCCGCCACGCGAACCTCATCCAACTCTACGCTGTGTGCAGTCAAGAGGAGCCCATCTACATCATCACCGAGCTCATGAGGCACGGCAGCTTGCTGGATTACCTGAGAGGTACAAACATCGACGTTGCTGATTTTAGTTTGGTTTCGGCAGATTCACACGTACAACGTTCAACCTGAACTCATCGATTTTTTTCAGAATTTTTTTTCATGAGTCCGTCTTGTTTTTTGGCCAATTTTATTCCATCGTGTCATGAGATGAAAAGATCCGTCCGGAACGCTGGAAAAAGCGGTGCATCTCTCCCCGTTAGAGAACGGCCCCAAGGAATTGGATTTCACAAAAACATATTTATGTGACCCCTTCCCGTGACCTCCGGTTCACATAATCGGGGGGGGGGGGGGCGGGGGCAGCGCTTTCCCATCCGCCCAGCCACCAGGAGTAATGTTCATCACAATTGAATGTGATTTATTTGTTATACGCAATCGTTGATGACCAAACAAACAAACAGAGACCATAGAGTTTAACATTATGAATTGTTATGAAGAGACCATAGATTCGCTGCACTCGTGAATCCGCATCAGTCGTGCACAGCTGCCCAGAGATTTGAACCCAGGCATTTTTGCAGTGGCAGCTTAGTGCTCCAGCCTCTTGGCCACCCAGCCACTTCCTCAATCTCGTGTAAAATCCATGCATCTGTATGCCTGAACACACTCATTTGTGAAGTTATTTGTCAATACATTACCTATTTGTACGTTTCAAGGGTAGGCTGCAGACATTTTAAATGCTGTATTCTTCATTTATATTCAAGGTCACAATTTCTTTGCTATTTTACATCTGTTTCATAATTCTAACTGAATGGATTGACATATGAGTGGCATCTTGTTTTCTTTTGTAAGTTAAGCGCTAACTTTATGTTGGGGAGATAGCATAGGGGGATGTATGAGGGGACTAGTGGGGAGTGAGGTACTGGACTAATGTAACGTCACATTTCTCGGTAAGACACAAGGCAGTCGTTCTGGAATGCATGGGACCTAATTCTCCCTGCTGTTCGGAGCTGCCTTTGTTTGGCTGTTACACACCGACTCTTAATAATCCTTAACATGGTCCGGCGTGACTTGGGTAACTCGCGACCACCCAAAGTTCTCAAATACCCTGCTTATTGTTAGAAATATGAATAATGTGTCCGTGTCTTAGTGCCATACATGCGTTGGTTTCCTGCATGATGCGGCTCACGCTGATTGATTCCTGCGCTCCACGAGTATGTAGCCAACCGTGCTAATTGAAGGTACAGGGAAGGACAACAAACAAAATGCATAAAAAAACAATTCTAAATAAATGAGTTTTTTTTTTTTTTAACCTAGATTTAAAAGAGCGCAACTCCGGTGGCTTCCTAATATCGGAATGAAGAGCGTTCCAGACGGCCGCAGAAGTGCTTCTGAAAGCGCGCGATGCGGTGACTGTCTTTGTTCGATAGCATAGCCGAAAGCCACTGTGAGGATGACCGGAGTTCGCTTGATGATGGTTTATGCTAGGGCGAGAGTATGCGGCACCGACCATGCGTCACCTTACCCTCGGACAGATTTGCGTCAAGATGTAAATGTTTACATCGTTAAATTATACGTGCTAGTGATTCGAATTTCCATATGTCACGCAAGGGGGGCGAAGGTCTTTGTCTTGATCGAAACCTTATATTTGTTGACAATTGCTTGGGTGAAAGAGATCGAGATATATGTAGATTGTAAAAAAAACAAGACGTTTAGTTTGTAATTAGTTGTAATTGTAAATATTAGTGGCGGGGGGGGGGGGGTACTGTAAAAGCTGCTGTCGTTTTAAAGCTTTCGTGACTGCAATGATTCATCTTCTTTGGTTCTTTCGGTAAAGTCACGTAGAATGATAATAAAATAATAAATTGATAAAATAAAATAACACAATAATATTCTCTGTGAGACTTTACCGAAAGAACCAAAGAAGCTGTTGTCGTCTGCGCTACTTCAATGTAGGAGTAGCAAAACTTCACCAACTCTCTCCTGGAGGCCTCTCGTGGTTGGCATACATCGACATTGGCATTTAGCTCCTGAACATCTTGCGAAACACATGATGTGAAATGGAACGAGTATGTCACGTTTCAAGGTTCGGCCCGAATGTCATTAATTACACCTAGGCTACAGCTTACGTAGGTAAAACACTGATTCGTAGAAAAAATACACTAGTTACAAAGCCACAGAAATTATAGATTGAACAACAAATTGCAAAAGTTTAATGATTTTCGTCATCAGAAAAAACTCGCAAGACAAGGCACGTTTAGCATTTACTAAATTGGGCTTCAGTATATCATGTTTTACAGGATATACAAGTTTGGCATACTGTGTTATGCCTTTCTTGAACCTAAAAACAAATATTTACATTTACAGTTCTCGTGATGCTGGCTTTTATTAAAAAAAAGACAACTGTCATCTGGTTGTTAGAATAGCTCTGCCATCGTAAATCCGAGATGGTTGATATTCCTGCATTTTATGTTTATATCCATTTTTTTCCCAATACAGATTTTAGGAAAACATCATTGTGGCTGTGAATAACATCGCGAAAATATAACCTCCATGTCTTGAACCCTCATCACAGTTACCTTCATGCAATCTCAGTTTAACCGTTCCATTCTTGTAAATAATTTAAATTGTCCCTTTTTGTGGGCCGTTGTTTGTGGAATCTTGGATGACCGCATCAATTTCCACCGAGTCACGTGGCTTCTCATAGCCTATCATGGCCAAGTACAGTGGCATTTGATATTCATTAGTGTGTGTCCCCTGAATGTGACTGGATAGGATGTTGTTCGTAGTGGAATAATAGAACATTCCTCAAGTCTGGCCTGTTCAGTGTTTGGTAGGTATACGTGCAGTAAGATATACATGGGTCTGTTAGTCTTCAAGTTAGTATTGCCACCCTCTTTGATTAGCAGAGAACAATGGGAAGGAAATACACGGAAATGTAAGAACGTAATAAAACGAATCTTGAGCCCAACTTTGCAGCTAAGTATATATGTAAGCAAAAACAAAAGTCATTCACAACAAGTTCATTTCACAAATTACGATCTTTGTTGGACGAACAGAACTGGAAAACGCATCGGAGTATTTACCTAAGTCGAATAATGAAAGTGCGATGAACACACGAGTGATTAGGGGTTTAAGCACTTTTTGATAATGAAAAGTAACGTTGAAATGTGCCTAAAGGAGAGAGATTTAAATCCTTGTATATCGCCTGCTAAGACATGCATCACCAACATGGAAACTGACAAAGAAAATGGAACAAACTTTGAAAAGTGTATGAAGAAGCAATGAGAGATACACGCGTGAAATTCTGGAAGACAGAAAGCAGAACACGTATAAAAGCTAGATGTATCAAATTGACATTCATTCAGCAGTGGATAGATCATAGCAGCTGCTGCTGCTGATGATGATGATGATTTTTCGTCCATTTACAAACTAAACAATTGCACGTGTTGCATGGAGTTTTCATGAAGAAAAAGAGCTTCATAGCTCATCGAAATTGTCTCCAGGATAAATAAAGGTTCCGATTCTGTAAAAAACAATTGCATTCATGTTTTTTACAGTACCAATACCGTTTCTAAAGCATACCCAAGGCTATTGTCCTCTGACCACTCACTGGGTAGACAATAGTCAATTAGCAGGTCACGTGGGATGTGATCAATTATGGGTACTGCCCAACTTTTCCCAAGACATTAGGGCTCCGTCTAGTGGTGGCCTTCCTGAACGCATTGGTGTGAGCAAATAATTGCAGGGCCGCACGTTAAACCATATTTTAGGAACGTCTTGACTGTGTCATTCATTATCGGTCCCATCAAGTTGTTTTAAGTTCTCTCAAGCATTCAACGAATGCAAATATTCTCTTTCCTCTCATTTTAAAACTCAAAGCAAGGGCGCTCTTCGCCGCGACGGTCAACCGTGTGAATGCTGCTCCTACTCCTGTGTCCAGGACCCCTGGGGAAACAGCTCAAGGCACCGGAACTGGTGGACATGGCTCGCCAGATCGCCGCTGGCATGGCCTATCTCGAGAGCCAGAACTACATCCACAGAGACCTGGCTGCACGAAACATCCTTGTTGGGGAAGGCAAAGTGTGCAAGGTGGCCGATTTTGGGCTCGCCCGGATTATCAAGGTATGCGTAGCAAGCAAGCAATCTCTCTCTCTCTCTCTCCAGCTCGCCAGTATTGAGGTGTTTTGGGTCGTTACTGGGCGTTGTTCAGAATGATGTCGGACATTTTGCTCCATGTGCCGGGAGGGTCGTCATTGGTGGCGAGATATTAACTACCTCACCTGGTATACATGAGGTCGTGGGTTTGATCCCGACCATGAGACCTGTATATTTTGGAGTTTGCGGGTCTCTCTCCCCGTGGTCCCGTGGATTTTTCTCCGGGTCCCCCGGTTTTTTTTCCCTCCACACTTAGAAATGTGCGTTTCGAGTATTTGACTGCTATACATTTCCACATGACAAGCTACTTCGTTGAGTTATCATTTGTGGCCAGGCTGCTGCTAAAAAAAGAGCTACGTAGCTCAGTGGGCCTTACCTGGTAAAATAAAAAAAATTGTTTAGTTTTTTAGTTACTGAAGAATCTCTCGGCATGCGGAACCCGAAAACACATTAGAGAGGGCTGTACAACACAACCGTGAAAAGCCTACGCAGTAGACTTTCTCTCTCTCCCCCTTATCCCGAAGCATCAATTTTGATGCAAACGTTCCAACACTGCCACTTGTTCTTGCCGTTAAGAATGATTCATTGCAGTCACGAAAGCTTTAAATCGAAATTCCTCTTCTCGTATTGGTCCTATTTCTCCTTAATTTTGGAGGGGTCTACCCTTCGGCTTCCTTCGTGTCTTCCTGTTTACACTACAAGCGCCCCCTCGGTATTCTGCCGTCGATCGTTGTCAATGGCCTTCTGGCATCCAACCAATCCCTATATTTCTATTCTCGTGGTGCATAGCAACACGGCTGGTTATTATTACTATTACTCCGATAATATGGTCCAAACTTGAAAATGTACACTGCAACTTAATTGGGGGGGGGGCGGGGGGAAAGCCCCCGCATTGCAACGTTGCCCCCTACTGGCAGACTGATTGGCAGGCCCCGTGCTGCTTACACTTGGTGCCCCACGTAGGGACAGCTGCCACTGGGGTCCCCTTGGCTAGACGGCAGCGGGGCATTGAAATAGTTGATGTAAGGCGTGATTTCGATTTAAAGCTTTCGTGACCACAGGGATTCATATTCTTGGTTCTTTCGGTAAAGTCACGTAGAAGGGAAACAATAACATAGTAAGAATAAAAGAATAAAATTATCACGACGTTTCGATTGCAACACAAGCAATCATCATCAGGTGTGAAAACCACAGCCAGAAATTTTGAAAAAAAGTGGCGGTTAGGAGCTTTGCTATTCTGAGGCATCTAAGCATCCTCTAAATGAAAGTCGTTATTGTCAATGGTCAAGAGGTGTCATCATTGTAAACCTAATTTCAAAACATTGTTTAGTAATGTACAGTAGTCTATGAAATATATTCATATAGCATAAGCTTGTTGGAAAAAAAATTATGCTTTTTATATGATTACTGTCATATAGGTACGTTATATAAATAGTAACTTGGACCGATGTAATGATGAACAAGCGAAAAAACTTCATAATATTTAGTAGGGCTTTTTCTTTTTAAAACTCGCAGTCATAAAACCACTCTGGAAAGTCCCCCCCCCCCCCCCAAAAAAAATCCATGCTGTATAAATGAACAGATGCGGATTTGATTGCACCGTGTTTGTGTCACGATGCAAGTCGCCGCAGGTTGTGTACGCCTGAACACATGGCGCGTTCCTCGGAATGCTCTTTTGTTTTCCAGGAAGACGAATACGAGGGGAAGGCTGGGGCCAAGGTGCCAATCAAGTGGACTGCCCCAGAAGCTGTGAATTTTCACCGTTTCTCCGTCAAGTCCGACGTCTGGTCCTTCGGCATCCTCCTGTATGAGCTCATCACGTACGGCAGGATGCCTTACCCCGGTTAGTAGCTGGCCACTTCGTTTGCTACAATGGAGTGCGTTCTGGGACTTCCCTTGCCGGTATCAAAATACAAGAATAGGTTTGACCCTTTCTAGCAATAAAACAGTTGCGTTAAGATGTTAAAACACCAAATAGAGAACTTTTGCAAAGAATCATGTCAGCATTAACCACACGTATAATTGTGGTGAACATTCAAACAAGAAAACATTCTCTGGTAGTATGAAACAGCATGAATGTGCATTTACTACCAGAACATGTTTTTTTTGTTTTATTATTTTACAATGGAGTGCATTGTTCACACTTCGGTGGTGAGATGTTAGCTACCTCGCCTTGGTATGCAGCAGGTCGTGGGTTCGATCCCGACCTTGACGCCTGCTGTATATTTTGAGTTTTGCATGTTCTCTCCATGGTCTTGTGGATTTTTATCTGGGTCCTCTGGTTTTTCTCTCCACTCATAATCAACGTTTGTTTAGAGTATTTGGCTGCTATTAATTTCCACGTGATAAGCCACTTAGTTGAGCTACCATTTGTGGCCAGGTCACTTCTGAATAAGGGCCATATAGCTCGGTAGGCCTTACGTTGTAAAATAAAAATAGTTTATAGTTGAATTTAGTTTGTTTAGTTTCAATGTGCCCAAACACGTGTTTACTGACACACACCAATGAAAATGTACCACGGCCAAGAGACCTAAATCTCCGGTCACAACAGGTATTCATTTATTTTTTACGTTTCAATCACATTTAATTTTCTCGGTACTTAAAAATTATACCTGCCAAGTTAATTTAGCAGTGTTAGTTACTGTTGCCCCAGATTTTTCTTTTACATTTGGCAATGATTGCATTTCTTTTTTTCTGCTGAGCATAATAATACCATTTTAATTCAATTCAAATGATCACGTGTGTAATATGTAACAAAATAAATGCATGGCATGTGTGCACGATAATGGCATGCGATGTCATGGAAAATTAATATCAAAATATTTCTCAGTTTCCCATTGTCGGTTCAGAGTACTGAGTTGGCACCACTGAGGTCACAGGTTTAACTTCAGGCCTGTGATTAAACTGGGTCCTCAAGTGTAGTGAGTTGATGGTCTCAGCCTGGCCACCAATGACTGCACACACAAAAAAAACCTTAGCATTAACTTTGGTTTTCCGCAAAGTTAAGAATAAATATAATGAAAATACAATTTGAACACATTGATTGTCATGCCACGAACCTTAAATCTCAAATGAATTGCGAGTGTGAGGTGCTGTCCTCTACTGTGTCGCAACAGAGGTCGCTTTGAGGGATCTCAGACGTGGCTCTGTGATATCCACTTCCATTAAAGGGTTGCATTGCTTTGAGGTTGATCAGACAGTATAATTAATCTTAGTGGCACAACCAGGGTGAAAAAAATGAATTGGGAGGAAATGGCAATATGTTGTAAGAGTTTACCATTATAAAAAAAAAAGTATTAATGAAACAGTATAATTATTGATGGTTTTGGAAACATTTCCAGCCTAAATAAATATGTATACAGTACTTGGGCCAACATGATCTCATACCATTAGTATGTGATGTTGGTGTGGCCTCTTAAACTACAGGTTAATAATTAAAATTATGTATTTTAAAATGAAAATCCTTTATTTGATCCAGTTAATAATCCATGGAAATGAGGTGCAGGATATATGCAGTACATTTATTTAGAGATTATATCAGTGTCCGAAAGCATGTTTTAACCAGTTAAACCACATTAGGGTGTGTGATTTAGATACAGTTGTTTTATTTGGTTAGTACTGATTAGATTCCTTTTGGAATTTTCCCACGACCTGCAAGAGCCCTAACCGATATGCGTGATCTTTTGGGGCTAAAGTCTAACCTGGCCAGTCGTCTAGGCTACCTCGGTGTTATGGAAAGGCTGCCCATATGTCCATCACACACTTGCAAGCATTAGTATCAATCACATCACTCACATGTGCCGATGCCTTTTCTTGTTGTCGGTGTAAATGTCGCGACGTGCAAACGTGACGCTGAATGTTATGCTTATGCGTTGTAAAGCGTTGGCTCATTCACCATGACCAATTAACCGCCCACACTCAGTGCAGTGTATGCGTGCACAGTTTAGCTGTCATTTCCCAAAGGTGTTCACATATCTGACCTTTTCGCACATACCTCAGTCTCTCAGCGAGTTGGTTTGCGACGTTGTGCGTTCTCTCTGCAACCGAGGGTTGCCGCTGTTTCCATGAAACAAACTTTGATTCGTTTCTCTCTCAAAACCGGGCAGTAGACTGAAATGCATTCGGATAGAATACCGGGATCAGATCTCGGTATGAATCGATTCTTACCACTGGAGCACAGATGTCAATCTGTGGACTGTCTGGTTAAAACCTAGACATGTGGCAACTCTAATGTATCCAGTTCAGCTCATTGAGCTGTAACAGTCTTTCATGAGGCTTCTTCTTAGAATGTTCAATTCCTTGGGGCTGTATCATAGCCACAACGATGAATGTAGCTGTTTATTTATATTTGGGCTTTAAACTCACCCTCTATGGCCTCATTAATGATTTGAGCATTATATTTATATTTACTACATACATTGTATGTTTGACTCCCCGGGGAATTGGTACAGACGGCGAGAAATGAACCTCCGTGGGTGGTAATTAGTTTGGTTTGCCGCCGCGTTATGAACCCGCAAATCAGAGTTCGATTTCCCGCCACGGCTACAATAAGTGGCAAGTCGTATCACAACCAGTCCTGCCCTCCATGCCCCCCCCCCCACCACCTTAACCAGGCTGCACTGACTAGCATGGTGAAGGATGGTACCCCCCCCCCCCCCATGATTGACATGGGTTCGCGAAAGGCTTCATCCGCTGATAATGTCTGTAACGCAATTACTTTAATCTATTATTAAAAAGGAAAATGTGTGTTCTCCCACCTTCGACTTAAGAGTGGTACAATGCCTGGCTGCAAGGTAGTGGTGAAAATTCCAGATTTACGTGTCAGGGGCATGTCACAATAGGGACGACCTCTGTTGACTTTCCACACGGTGGGGAGTCTTGAAGGAGAGTGGAGAGTGTGTGCATAATGATGATAATAAAACATTATACACTATTTTTATTTGTGCAGCTATAAGGCCCATGGAGAAATATGAGTTGTTTCGCAGAAGCGACCTGACCACAAATGATAGCTCAAAAAATTATAGCTGAACTCTCTAAAGGCGTGTTTCCAAATGTCGAGGGAAAACCGGGAGGACCTGGAGGAAAATCCACGCAAACATGTGGAGGAGATGCAAACTCGAAATATACAGCAAGTGTCGAGGACGGGTTCGAACCCACGCCCTCCTGTATACCAGGCGAGGTAGTAAACATCTCGCCACCGTGGCGCCCACTAGTATTATGTTGCATATCCGACTCCCCAGGGAATTGTCATAGGCAGTAGTAATAATAATAATAATGTTCTCATCATGTGATTTTTATTTATTTATTTTTTAGAAATGGGCAACATGGAGGTGCTGAAGCAGCTGGACAGGGGATACCGGATGCCGCAGCCAGATAATTGCCCTCCGCTCTTTTACTCCATCATGCTGGAGTGCTGGAACAAGAAGGAGGAAGAGCGACCAACGTTCGAGACCTTGCAGTGGAGGCTTGATTACTTTGACTCGGACCCTAACAACTACACAGATGCGCAAGCCTTTGTCCGTTAGGAGGTTGGGGAGGGCGATATGGGTGACCGAGGTATGTGTCTGATGTATGGAAGAGTGGGGTTGGCCACTCGCATTGCGGATGTGAAGGATGTCGTAATAACGGGAAAATGTTATTGCCATATCGTTGAATAAGCAGTACATGCAATCATTTGTATATAAAATACGGTAATCGTGTTGTGGTGATATGTGACCTCTAATATAAACACAAGAATATAGCGGTATAATATTAATGTACAGATTTTAGGAATCGCACACTACTACAGTCATTGGATATAATAGTGAATCTGAGGTGTCTTCATAAACAAAAACCTATATTTTGTATCTCTCTATTCAAGTCTAATTCCACACACAGACACACCTATTTCTACACTTTTCTGTCGCGTTATAATAAACCAACGCTTAAGCATAAACATTGTCACTCGGTACGCGGTGGCATTGTACAATTCGCGAACACCTGTTTTCCACGTGGAACACGTGAGCGTGTTGCAACTTAACTGCTTGGCCAGATTGCAAATATTTCCGTACAATTGTAAATCACATTCTTACTAAAAACGTCAACCAATGCTAACCTTAAATGATGCAAATTAAGTATATAGTCATAAACAATGTAATAACTGAATCAAGTGCTTAACACGTAGGGTTTCACGACCAATATTATACATAAAATAGAGGTTTTGCAGTGAGATTGTTTAAACATAAATGCGTCGTTAAACCCACCGCCACCTGACACAGCCAATTAATAAGGTTTGTCATGTAAACAAAATATGTCAATTCGTTACGAGTACAGTACACTGGTGTGTTGGAGAGTAAACCCACAGTACTCGAATTGTAAATGTTGCAAAACGACGCGTTCACATTTACATGATCTAACCAAAAAAACCTCTTGTGCAATACAAATCAAGTGTGTACATTGCCATTGAAATTACAATACAGTTGCAGGAAGGAGAGAGTCGGGTGTTCATATCAAGGTCACGCTGTTAGTCTATGACAGACACTCGAGTCAAGAGCAGCCCTTTTTTTCACGCGGTATATAGGTAGGCACATGTCCATGGGGACATTAAAATGGTCAGATGTGGGTGGCCTCGGATGAATCCTGGCCACATTTCTCAGTTTTCCTGCGGCATTTGCAGCACGAGCTGCATATCCATTCCCCAAGCTCTTTCTGCCTGTGCAATAAATACATCTCGTTGAAATAAATACCCACGAAATGTGCACAGCGTACTCAGACGTGGTCACGTTTCCCCAACCTTGGTTTCACTCGTAGGGCTTATTATTTATATGTGGGGAGTGTAAGCAAGGTTCAAAGGTTCCAGTTGGGTTTGTTGTTTAACCGGGTGAGACCTCAAGGAAGGACCTTGGTTACCAAATTGACGAAAGCAAAACAGCGCAGCAACGATAACAGACATTGGAACAGAACAAAAGAAACGCCATATCGGCACGAGCGTTATGAAAAAATGTTGTGAACCTAAACGAATGTTAACATATTAAAGTTCCCCCCCCTTCATCGCAAATGAGCAAAAGGGTAGGATAATTTACAAGACCGTGTCTTCGCCCAACCTTAACACACAATTATTTAACACACACATATATTCAAACCTGTATTATAACTTGAATCATAGTTGACAACTTGGAGAAGGTTCTTGGTGTACATTCATTTTGGTGATAGGGAAAGGAGGTGTGGGGCATGAAACAACCCATGTTCCCGACGAATTTGCGGAAACTTGACATCAAACTGAGGAATAGTAAATGTTTTGCCAAATATTGGCAACGTTTTATGCACACACATAAACAGGTTGCCATAACACGTTTCTGAAAAAGCCACGGATCTTACAAAATTACTTGTTGTTGTACTTTGATTTTCTTGCATGGGCTAGTAAACAATGTGAAAAGTTAAATTACGCTCTTTGCAATTCAGTGTATGCCAAATGTTAGACTGTTATACATATTAAACGTACGTAGTAATGTTGCCAATTTGGAGTGTGTTTAATAACTAGTGGTTAGAGAGAAGCCGGATGCAAATGTGTAGCAGCCTATCTTGATCCTGATTTTATTAAAATATAAATTGTAATCAATGTTAGTATGAGCATCGGTTTTTGTACATTTTGATGGAACCTCTTCCTGGTTCGTGAGCAAAAACATTTTTCCAGCAAAAAAATACAACTCTGGTTTTATGCCAGACAAAGAGTTGCATGCTCCATAATTTTCAGTGTTTTAAAGTATTTTTTCTTCTTCATATAATACCCAAGTGCACAACACCTTTCAACAATATTACTGGTTCTTTCGGCAAAGCCAAACAGAAGGGAAACAACAAAAACACAACAACAAAATTCTCACGACGTTTCGACTGCAACACAAGCAATCATCATCAGGTGTGAAAACCACAGCAAGAAATTTTGTTTCAAATTTTCTTCATGTGGTTTTCAAATTTTCTTGCTGTGGTTTTCACACCTGATGATGATTACTTGTGTTGCAGTCGAAACGTCGTGAGAATTTTGTTGTTTTGTGTTTTTTTTGTTTAGTTGTTTCCCTTCTGCGTGACTTTGCCGAAAGAATATGAATTCCTGCAGTCACGAAAGCTTTAAATCAAAATCTTTCAACAATGTTTAGTCGATCACTCGCTTTTGTTTAACTGAGCCAATTTATATGACATTGTATGACACGATATACTACTACTGTAGTGTAACGGTTAGCGCACTCGTCCGGGCGTGGCAAGTTGAAATAAACAATTGAGAACTTTTCTTAAATCCTTCACAATTCTTGTCCACCCCAGCAGTCGAGTATAAATCGGTACACCAGAGTTGATTGGAAGATTGAGTGCGGCGAGGTAAAGTGTGTGGTGTGTAAACTTCGCCACTCGGGAGAAAAACAAGGCGGCCAAGCATGGTGCTGGCCACCTACCGCCTCTGCGCGTCGTGCCGGCCTTCGTAGGTGCTCGCTGACAGCACCTGCGCCTACAGTCTGTTAAGGCTATACGGGGGATCTTTGTGTTTTGTACTTCCAACCTCCTGTTCCCGAGACTGCTGGCCACCGTGGAAGAGTGTGCCCCAGAATATTACCTGGAGCTCCTCCTAGTGGAGCCTCCTTCTGTCATGTAGGCAAGAAATTGCAGGGCTGCACTTGTATATTTTACCTTTACCCCGTGATTTAGTGTCGGTGTAACAATCTACTGGGCTACATGCATATAATTTGTTTAAAAGTGTAGTCCATAGACTGAAAGAAAAAAAATCAAACCATGTGTACCGCGGCATATGTAAACTCGTCATGTTGTTTTCCACAGGGTTGAAGTATGCCTCGTAAAACCACTCCAGAAAGTGGTATGAACATTTGAGGGATTTAGCAGTTACAAATTAATCCCAACTTCAAAACACTGTACTTTATACTTTCGTAAATACCCTATCAAAAATGTGTTTTCATATCGTACTCATTTTAGCATACTGTATCGAGAAAATATGGGGGGGGGGTTGGGGTAGGTAAGTGGTGCTGCAGTGGCTATCACGCTGCAATGAAGTAGGTGACCTGAGTTGGATTCCCAGCCATGGCTATGGTCTGGCAGGTGTTATATCTGATCGTCTCCGGCGCCTGCCACCTTCACCAAACCGTCCTGACCGGCATCGTCAGCTGACTTCCCCTCTTGACCGACATGACATGGAGAGGCCCTTATGCACTGGTGGATTAGCATAAGTGTTGTTATCTTATTATATAAAATACTAAATTAAGGTTACTTGCATTCAAAGACACAACCCAGTTCTGTAGCAAATTGTATTCCTGGGCTGCCTCTATGTCAAAGCTTTACCAAAAAGTTAATTTAACACAATGCCCTTAAAATAATGTTTGCTTAATTTTAGCAAAGTACTGTGATTTTTACATTTTTGCCATGTTATTCAAGAAAAAATATTTGCTGCCAGCTATGTTGTGCACTATACTGTACATGTTAACCTGGTTATTTTGTTTTATTGGAAACTCAGTAAATATTCGCCAGTAACTGTGTAGTTCACATCTTGTGAGTAAGAGTGCATTCTGTCATTCTGCTTCAGGGTGTGAAACCAAAAGTATACTTGTTGAGATCAGTTACCAAAACCACAGTTCTACAGAATCATGACTTGGGTCAAACACATTCCGAGATTCAATAATGTGTTTCGTTATCAATCCGGTTTATATATGTGTATATGGAAGACCGTTTGCAATTAAACGTTTTACGTGTTTTATAGATAATTTAACTCGTGTAGGTCAGGTGTTTGAAAAAAATTGGTATAAAGTAGTATTTTTTTATTTTTGAGTAAAATATAAAAATAGCTGGTTTAGGCTATTGCGTGCTATGCCAATGATTGGTAGATGTTAACACTAACCATGACAGCAGAGGATGCTTGTCTTAATTCTCTGCAGTAAATTGAAACCGAATTTTGGAAACGTCCCGAAAAAAAGATTGTACATCCGTTTTTGGATTATTATTTTTTGCAAAAGCAGAAGCACTAATGGCTGCAGTGGCTATCACACTGCAATGAAGCAGGTGACCGAATGGTTGTTAAATGGAACAGTAAATTGAAGTAGATATTAAGTTTAGTCCATTGTAACTTCTAAAACTGAAATATGTCGACGGTACAGTCGTACTAAATAATTCTCAAAGGTGTAATGATATGGAGAGAAGCTCATGTTGGTTACGGGTCATTTAAACCTGTTGGAGCCCTTTGTCTCGCCAGAATTAATATAAAGATGCATAAATCAAGTCATCCACATGGCATTGAATGTGCCTCCCATATAAATGTACTTTTAATGGTTAGGTGAGTTGGAATACTGTAATGCAGTACAATAACATTGTAACTATTCAGATATTTCCCATGTATTCAATATGTTTATCACTTCTGAATTAGCTGGTTACCGAAATCTTTAAAGGTTTTACTGTTATTTAACGGGAAATCGATGCAATATTTACTGTCGTGTGATTCAAGCAAATAAACATTTTAATGATGACTCTGATTACTGTACACTATATGGCAAATCTGGGGGCCAAGTACAATTGTAAGCATGCGATGTGTGATGCCATTATAAATGTTGTGGTGTTATAATTCACCCCAGGTTTGGTTTAGACTGAAGTCCTCAAACCACTTATTTTAGGGAAGTTATTTTAAATGATTGCACTTAATTATTTTAACATTTTACTCACAAACCACGTATTGGTGCTTTTTGACGTTTTAAAATATAAAAATGGTTTCCAGGTAGTTACGAGGTTGTCATTAAGAGTTCTGTAATAAATGTCCAACATGATAGGGGAGGCACACAATTATAACAGGTTTACGTAATGTATGAACAGTGACCCACATGTTTTGTAACAAGCCAGACGTTTTTAGTGGTATACCCAGTACTTGCTTCTCAATTGTCTCTACGATACATGCCATCAGCCTGTCATTAACCTTAATAAGTAATGTCATCTAGTTGTGTGATCATTTGACGATCTGACCATGAGAATTCAGTCTAAGGGGGAGGGTATTTCCATGGCACGGAGAATAATGTGGTTTCAATCCTGCGAAGTGACAAATATTTAGACATACCTATTTCTGTATATGGCTAATAAAAGTAGATAATGTGATAACATGCTTATTGAATAAGGTTATTACATTCTGCAATTAACTTTTATTGGCAATTAAATGATGTTGATACAACTCCATGTTTTTACATATAAGGTGGAACCAACAAGTAAAATATTTGTTCTGGGCCCATGATTATTTAGCAGACGAGGCTCGTTGCTTCTCATGAAGACTTGAACAGAATTATAAGTGTGCTCACATCCTCTTCCAGTTTTGCAGCAGTATAACTTCGTCATATGTATTTTGATTGTGCCTAATAAGCGTGAATGGCTCTCCACAGCGAAATGAAACCTTACAATGTTGTTTGACGTTTCTTGCCTTTATAAAGTAAGTTTATTTTGTTTAACCAGGTAAGAACTCGAGAGATGATAATACTTTAATTCTCCTGGGTGATCAAAATCACACACGGCATGCCCACAGCACTGTTCTATTCTTGCGTCTGGCGTTATTGTCAAGATCTAAATGCCAAAGTCGAAGTATACCCGCCACAAGAGGGCGTCAGGAGACAGTTTGTAAAGTTATTGCGATTCTTCCTCCGCTGAAGGAGCGCAGAACACAGTTTGTTTCCTCTAAAAATGTTTCTTCTTTTACCAGATAAGGCCCACTGAGCTGTATAGCTCTTTTTCAGAAGCGACCTGGCCACAAATGGTAGCCCAACGAAGTGGCTTATCACGTGGAAATGTATAGTAGCAACCAAACACTCTAAAACGCATGTTTCTAAATGTGGAGGGGAAATACCGGAGGACCCGGAGAAAAATCCACGCCACCACGGTGGAGAACGTGCAAACTCCAAATATACAGCAGGCGTCAGTGTCGAGATCGAACCCACGCGGCGTTCCTGTATACCAGGCGAGGTAGTTAACATCTAGCCACCGTCAAAACTTTGGGGGTTGCATGGTTACAATCGTACTGTGGCTTGTCTTTTCATTGTCCACTCGTCATGATGGTTTGCGCATCGGCCTGTCGTTCTGATGTGGTTGATGGTTGTTACACCAGTATCTTCGGGGAATGTCAGCAGCACGAACTGAAAGTAATACACACATTTACAAAGTGTCATGTAAAATGTGAGCAAAAATATATTACTGTAAAAAACCCTATTAACGACCACCCCTGTTAACGACGAATCGCTTAACAACGGGTGTCCATAGAGCCCAATGTGTAGTGTATAGTGTAGTGTATAGTACTGTAGTGCCTCCATAGAGCCCAATGTGTTCGCTTAACGACCATTACCCCGTTAAAAACGGGACATTGTAGCTACAGGAAATAATTAATGAATTAATTCATTCATTAGCCACGTTTACTTCTAATGTTTAGTGTTTCTCATGCTGTCGGTATTGTTACGTACCAATATCCATTGTGTAAATATTATGAGTAGAACATTTTTGGGTGAAAAAGGGTCATTTCGGTGCTATCGGAACGAGATTAAGTTTTTAACATGTACTTCCTGTACTCGCTAAACGAGCGCAGACCACAGTTGTTTCCTCTAAATC